TCACCTCTCTGTTACATATCTGCTGGTACCGATAGGTATTTGCTTTGGTCGATCCCTCTCTTAGGGACTAATGAAGTGTTCTGTGCTAAAGAATGATTTCTTTTCCCCATGAAATTAGATCCTAATGACCCCACTGAATATCCAGTTTCTTCATACTCTGACCTTTGCCACATCCAGCAGAGGTTCAGACACTTATTAAACACTTACAGTTTGAGGGCTGTATCTAATAGCTTGGGGTAATGGGCAACTGGGGCCTGGAAAACTATGAATCATTTGAAAATATAACTCAGAAAAAAAACTCCCAACATTTATATTTATATTTTTTTCTAAACGTCTTTCTCTGCAGGCTTATAGCTTAGAGTTAAGAGCATGAGTTTTTGTATTCGATCTGGATTCTACTCTGGGCACTTGTGTGTGTCAGCTGTGTGCCTTTGGGTGATGTACTTTTTAACCCTTTAGGCCTCCATTTCCTCATTTTAAAATGAGGATGATGATGATCATGATGATGATGATAATACCTAATTCAGAGGGCTGCGTGTGGATTAAATGAGAGAGAACACGTGAAGTACCCAGCACGGTGCTTGCCAGGGCGTGAGCATTCGGTCAGTGCTTAACTAAGAGAAGGAAACCACATCGTCTTCCAGTGAAGGCAAAATGGGTGATGGGATGGAGGTGGTGGTGGTGGTGATGTCATAGTCAATAAACTAGAAGATGATACGTATCGCCTAATTTCGTGATGTCACCTCCTCCGTCCCACCATCCCTCCTATTTCAAGGATATTATTGAGAACATAAGCCTTTTACTCCTCCTATGTCTTCTAGTGAGAAAATCCCTGGAGTAGAAGTGAACAGATCTGACCTCTGCTATGGAGGTTACAATAGCAGCTAGTTGTTGGAGCTGTTATGACTCAGTGTGACCTTCATTAATCACTTAAATTCTGTATCTCAGTTGCCTCTTCTATACCACGAACAATTATGTATCAAGCCCTATGAAACACTATACACATCTTTCATTCAATCTCCAACCTGATCTTATGAGGTGGTTACTATGCTTACAGATTCGGCAAAACAAGAAGTCTCAGAAAGGTGAAATGTTTTGGCCAGTTACCAGCTAGTAAGCAGCAGAGCTGGAATTCAAATCACAATTTGTCTGATGCCAAAGCCATGTTTTTTCCCAAGCTACCTCCAGGCCTCGAAGGAAGGACTATGAAATATTCAGAAAGTACGAAAGGAAGCTCGGTAACTCACCTGGTGAGGGTGTGAGGATCCCTTAGAGGCTGTAATTTTGATTTCTTGGCCACTAATACTAAAATCTCAAGAGCTGGGACACTGGGCCATGTTAGGGGTCTAAAGAGTCATGCCCCGCTAAGGTCACCTCGTTCCTACCTTTTCGCTGCCATTTCTTGAGTTTTCTGGTTTCACTAGGATTGATGGTGGGGCAGATGCAGGTGGTTTGGGTAGAGGCTCACTCTTGATGGGGATTTCCTTGCCTTCCATGATGATGGAACTGGCTGCCGAGTGGATCCTGGTGTCGCTGCCCCTGCCGACGCACGTGAGGCCAGGCTCCCCCGTGGGAGTGGGCTTGGGTCCCATCTCTGCCATCGCTGTCGAGGGGACCCCCAGTGGCTGGTGAAACTGGAACTGCTGAGGCCGTACGACCATGGTGGGGCTGCGTCGGAGGGAGCCCACCACAAGGGTGGGGATCCCTGACTGGACGGGTCTCTGCAGGGATCCATCTGGGGAATTATACGACAGACAGATCAGCAATGGGGGTGGCTGCCAGCAGGTTAGATTGGGCTGGGTTAGCCATGTGTCCTGATATCCCAGAATAGTTAAGAGCTTTCCCAATTTGACTATGCTGACATTCTCTCAGGGGCTTTCAAAGGTGACCTTATTCTTTTTTTAGCGCTGTTTGCTGATGCTGGCAGCAAATAAGTGGCTTCCTGAATGTTGCGGCGGGGGCGGGGCGGTGTCAGAAGGTATGTTACTTCCCTTTGTACTCTCTCTCCTCTCTCTCTTTCTCTCCTACTCTCTCCCTCCAGATCTTTAAGATGGAAAGTGAAGAAGACAGACCTAGAGATGGTTTCACAGTGAGAAACATAGAGGCATGCAGACCAAAGAGGGAAAAACAGACAGACAGAAAGAAAGAGACAGAAAACAGAAACTGAGAGTCAAAGTGAGAGGGATGAGACGGAGGGAGGGAGGGGAGAGGATCCTGACCGCCTACTCGAAGAATATTCTGACAGAAGCTTTAGGTATGGTGGTGGGACTGCTTTAGTCGCGGGCTGCAGGGAGAAGAGTGAGTGGGATATTAAGAGAGTGTGTGTGCCAGGCAAACGTGACAGCAGATGGAAGCGAAGTTGCAAAGGCTCTTCTAGAGTTAGGGCTGTGTGCGGATGAGCCTTGCAAAGTCCCATGACACAGTCTCTGGAATCAGATCTACTCCCAGGGAGCCGGGACAAGTCAGCCACATTACCAACCTGGGCCTCAGTCTCCTCATTTGTAAACCGGAGCTAATAACAGCACCACATAAGGCTGGAGTGAGGACTACGTTTTACAATGTGTGCAAAGGGTTAGGACGGTGCCTGGAACCTAATAAATGGCCCGTGTTTGTTAGATATCATTATTTGTGGGCAAAGGATAGTGAACCTTAAAAATGCAAAGTGCGGGAGTTTGCTTTTGCCTCTTCCCTGAACTTATTCTTTTTTAGGGGGAGGGAGTAATTGAGATGATCCCCCCTCAGTAAAAGGAAGCCATTCCTTCCCCTCAAATTCTCTGGAGACAGGAGATCCCCATCCCTTGAGCGTATGTCCTGTAAGTAATTGGGAGTTCACTGCACTCTGCGGGGAGGGAGGAGAGGCATTGCGGCCGTTTCTCCATAAAGGTCTCCCAGCGTTTAGAGAGCCATAGGTGACGTCCAGTCAGAAACGTTAGTCGTTCACGACACTCTACGAACACGTGTGTGAATCAGTTATTTGTGTGCAGCATAGAGGGCCGGAGCCAAGGCCGTGTTCTGCATTGCGACTCTTCGTCAAGCCGGATGTGAACATGAAAAGCAGAATGCTCACTAAACATAGTCGGTGTTCTCAGCGGCTGCAAGCAAGCCAGTTGCCACGTACACAAGTCTGACCTTTCAATGTAGACATTTATTTTTCCACTGTCAGCCCTGTGAGGTGCGCACAGTCAATTCTGCTGCCATTTCTCTTCGCTTTGGGGAGATTGATAGCTTGAGCAGCCTCACCTTGGGAGAAGGGAGAGAGAGAAAGCCTCCGGGATCTGGGAAAGTCAAAGCAGCTCTGGGCGGACATGGCCTCAGGTTCCCGGAATCGTGTGAAAAATTGGTTTCATGCCTTATCTATTTATTTTGTTGGTTCCTAATTTCCAAGAGAGCTAATGCTTTCTTATTACATGTGCATGCAACGCAGCAGTCAAAGCTCCAAACTGATCGTGATCTACGCGAAGGTGGGGAGGGAGTGTGTGAAAGAATGGGGAGTGTTTGCCAGTGGGTGTCCTTCTCTGCACTGGTAAGTGGTCTAGACTGAGTCTAAGTGAGTTCACACTTGGGACGGAGCAAAGATGATCTGCTTAGTTGTAGTACAACGGTAATATTGATAAAATAATAATCGTATAAAAATAGCTAATATTTCTCAAGAGCTTAGGTGCCAGGAGCTGTGTCATCAGTCTTAGATGGGTTATTCTATTGAAATCATACAATAACTCTGATGAAGTTGGTACTATTTTTATTTCCATTTTACAAATGAGAAAAACCGAAGACTGAAGAGGTCAGTAACTTGCTCCAGGCCGTTATGGTGGGATTAATATTTTGCGTGTGTGGGGAGGAGACGGAGGAAGGTACCAGAGGGTAAAGGAGGGAGGACAGCTGGGTAGGATCGAGAGGCAAGGACAGTGGGACTGAGGTCAAGCAGGAGATCAGATGAAATCACTAGGAGAGAGATTGAATTTTCTTGGGACGTTTTCCTGGGCGGCATATTGTCTCACGGGTTACTCTTTTGCTCTGACTAGTCATATTACATTTAATCATTTTTTAAGATAGCAGAGCCCCGTTTAACTCAGGGGACGTGGAATAAATCAAATTTACTTTGCTTGGCTCATTGTCTTCTGGAGAGGTGTGTGAATACGGGACCTTGATGTTTTGTGGAACAGTGGGTTTCAAACACTTTTAAAACCTCTGAAAATGAAATCTTATGTAGATGTTCAATGTGTTGGGAGATAAAAGCATGGTTTTTAAGAGGAAAGATCTATATTACTGCCGGGTGTGCACGCAGATGTTATATAGGTTAAAATAAAAGCAAAGTGCTGAACAGTGCAGTGAGTAGGATTACAAGGTAGATAAGAACATGGAAGAGAATTTGGGACTGAGGTAAATAAATAAATAAGTATAGACAGATATAAGTTTATAATTATATATATATATATTTACCTCGTGCACGTATTAGTTAAATAACAAAGTGGGATTCAGGGGCTCTTAGCACTGACTTCTTAAGCTTTTCTTCCTTCCCCCCATTCTCCCCTTGTTTCCCTTTCGGCACTCCTGAGGGGTTCCGTGGAGCACAGTTTGAGAAGCACTGGTCCAGCAAGTGCTTCGTTCTGTCCTAATAAGCACCAACATCGTCTTGGCTGTGTTCTAATTATATGTTGGCACCCAGCACTGCCATAATCCCAGTCAACCAACACATATGTGTGAAGTGACCAGAGGGCAGTGACCTTGAGTCGGTCTGGCTTCATCCAAAAAAACAACTCAGTATTTGTGAATCATAAAGCACCCTTCACGGAGAGGCTTGCTCCAAAGCCACGATCCTTGTTTCTGCAGAAGGTACTCTGTCTACCCCGCATCAGATACCCCCTCACTTAGTTCTAGGCACATACCTCTCTGCCACCACTTACTCTTTCTCATGCTGCTCCGCCCTTTCCGAAGAGAGCCCCGTCCCAAAGTCCCCAGGCCGGCAGTGCTCCTCACAGGATTGACTATGGCAGTGGGCACAAAGACAGACTTGAAGGGACGGCTTTGTCGGGGATCACCTTCTGAAATGCTGCCTTGGGAGGATACAGAGGAGGTCGATAGTGTCCATGTGGCGTAGAGACCAGGGCTCCGGGAATCTGGAGAACTAGATGTCTTTCTGGTTGTCGAAATTTTTTCAAAAGAGAAGAAACAGAGAAAAAAAAATGGTCCGTCAAGAGTCCTATTTTAAAAAACTATCAGCTCCCAACCGTATACCACCTGTGGCCGTTCCCCACCCTTTTCCTACCTATAAACAAGCTCAGCGTCAGCCATGCAGGCTTAACTAAGTCAGCCTCATTCCCATGCCGTGATAGGTATGAGTGCGCTGACGGACAGGCATCTGCTCTCGCACAGAGGCCTTGGTGGAACTAGAAGACACGAATCACGTCATCTTTCACTCCGGCTCTGATCACTCCTCCCCCCACGTCCCCTCAGCCCTTGAGTTCACAGCATAAGGTCTTTTATGTACTCATCACGCTTTGCAGTGGAGAGTTCTTGTTCATTCAGTGACTTTTCCACTAGATTCTAAACTCTTTGGAGGCAGAGATTTTATATGACTTATTTGATGTGTTCTGCATATGTTAGCAAATGTTTGCTGAGTGGCTGCCATGATGCTTTCAGCGCTGAGGCCAGTCATTCTGGCTAACACATCCTGAGCACTTACGGAGCGCTGGGCAAAGGCCAAGCGCTTTACCCACATTATCTCATGGGTTCTTCACAACAGCCTGCTGAGGTAGGTTACTATTAGTGCCACTATTTTATTGATTGAAAAATGGAGATTTACAGTTACTTGCCTGAGCAACTACTAGACTTAAGATTTGGACTCAGGTCCAGGCTGGCCCTCTGCTCTACTACTGAGCTACATCATCTGTGCTCTTACTACTGAACTGCACGACCTTCTAGCTAGTTAGAGCAGGCACATTTGGTAGCAGGGAAAAACCTGCATCCTGCTGGAAAGAAAGAAACCAGAGCAGCGGTAAGCTCTACGTGTGCCTCTGCGAGACCCTAATTCTTTAGCCTTGGGCTCTGATTTTTAAAACTAGTATTAAATTTTTATAAAGTAGAAACCCCTTATCCACTGTTCCCAGCCTGCAAGTCCCTGAATGCCATGGGGAATGGCAGTCATTCTACATGCCTTTCTTGCCTTTTTACCAATTCGACCTCAACATTTGAGCCTCTACTGAGCAGTTCATCAATCACTTTGTCACTCTGTTGATTAAATAGCCTTGACTAATCACCTGGGGATAACCAACTTGACTGCAGCCCTGGCACAGGGAGGCACTCCTTACTGGTTTCCCTCCTGTCAACGCCTCCACATTTTTCTTTAGGGCATTTCCCCTTATTTCTCCTTCTTTTGCTTAAAAAAGTGATATGTAGTTTAATAAAGGGCCAGCCAGTGTTGTACAAAGATGGGTAAGGTATCATGTAATATAGCCAACTCTGCCCTGGAAGCATACACAGGCTAATGTGCCAGGAGATGATGCTCACGGCAAGGGGACTTTGTCCATAGCTGCCATCCTGCCTCTGGTCCCTGGCGGTGCGCTCAGTGAAGGGGAATGGGCTGCCCACCTGGAGGAGTGCGGACTACATTCTAGAGATGAGGGCTGGGCAGTGGAGAGACAGCCCAGCACTGGCTTTCGGGGGAGAGTCTGCATCTGCCTGTCTTTTGTCGAACAGAGGCTTTAAGGTGCTGGACACCGAAAATGGATTGAAAACAGGAAAGACAGGTTCCAACACTGTTCCCAGCAGCAGCAGCAGCAAGGACAGAATACAGTTAATTAGGACTAAGCCAGCCTTATTCCACCAGTCTCTTCTTTGAATGACTGTTTACAGACTGAGGCGCGACCTCATTTTCCTGAGCCCAGCACTCGGCTGGCTTCCAGAAACTCCTAAATCCCAGTCTCCCATCCAACACAGAGTCCCTCTATGTCCTTTGGCAAGAAGCTCAGCACTTACCTGGCACTTTCTTCTAACATCAAAACACTTTGCTCGCACACATTAATTAATCCCCATGACACCCCAGACCCGTGGGCATCGTGAACCTTGTTTTCTAGACAGAGACACAGAAAGGCATTTTGGGCTCGAGTCGAAGGAATGCGTGTTGCCTCTGATTTGCTCCATTGTGCTGTTTCGAGTGTGTAGGTCTGTGTCCTCTTTTCCAACTGTGACATGAGCCCTTAAGAACTTGCCAGTGTTTGCAAGGGGTGTTACAAATGGCAGCACTTTTGTGCTCACCATTGGCAGTGGCTGCCTGGTAAGGCGCAAGCTTGGACCTTGACAATTTTCATATAGTTCTGTGTAGAAAGTTAAAGAAAAATGAGTAGTGGCCCATGTGTCACTTTCCTCCACACATAAGGCATCAGGTGGGCGCATGTGTCCAGTGAAGTTCACAAGAAAGAGAAATATCCTGGCTGACTGGGCAGAAGGAAATTTACTGGGAGGACAGGATGGGGTGGAAAGGGCTGCAAACAGGATGGAAGGGAGGCGGCCCAGGCAATCTGAGGCAGTAGGAATCTGAGGTGGGAAGAGCCTGATTGCATGGTGCTGCCTGCGTTCTTGCCATGACTGGTCTTCGGCTTTGCCCACATTCTTTCCAAGCCTCAACAGGGAGTATCGGGTTGGCTGAGCCTGTCCCTTGGCTGTGCTGATGGGCTGGGGATGGGTTGGTTTCTTAAGCCTCTGAAAAGGGAGGGAACTTCTGCCTCCCACCAAGACTATTCACGGAAGAGGAAACCCAAATGGATGTTGGTGCTATTAAGAAGGGGTTTGGATGAAAACATGACAAATGTTCTGGATGACCTGAGCCAACGGTCGTCTACAGGATCTGGGGAAATATGTCATGGGGGCAGAGATTTAGGTGGGGTCATCACGGCCGGATAGGTTGGCATCACCTTCTAGCACAGATTTTTGGATAGCACAGAAGCCTTTTACTCTTGGTAATTAAAAGGCTCACTTGCTAAACCTTAAAACCCTGGCATTTAGGTCAACTCTGGTCTATCCATAGTTAGTCCTGAAACTGTGGCTGGCTCAGTTCATTAGGACAGTGGTCCCCAACCTTTTTGGCACTAGGCACTGGGGCTCCTATGAGAATCTAATGCCTGATGATCTGAAGTGGAGCTGAGGCAGTGATGCTAGCGCTGGAGAGCGGCTGCAGATAGAGAGGAAGCTTTGCTTGCTTGCCTGCCGCTCACCTCCTGCTGTGCGGCCCGGTTCCTAACAGGCTATGAACCAGTACCAGTCCACCGGAGCTTAGGGACCCCTGATTAGGAGATGAAGCTAATAAGAGCAAAGTTCAAATGTTCAGGAGGTATCTCACACCTTCAAGCCCTGGCTGTCTATAAAAGGCTGCACAGTACACCGATGGCGCTGGTGCCAGTGCAGAGCCATCACTGCAAACAGAAGTCAAAGAGGGTGGGGGAAACTCACGCACACACAGAGCCAAAGAGCAGAAGCACACGTAGCCCAACCCACTCAGTTCTAACCAAAGAGTCTTGCACATGTGTCCGACCCACTCAGTTCTAACACAACCTGTTTAAAGCAGTAGCAACCCAGCTGACAAATGACGGCATCGTTCAGCCCTAAGAAGCAAGAGGAACTAAACCTCCCACAGTGGAAAGGGTAGTTAAGAACAAGGGTGAGCTGCCCCCAGATAGATAAACTGGACATGTATCATCTATGCATCAGGGAGGCATCAAAGAACACACACACACACACACAAACATACACACGCACACACACACACAGAAAGAACTGATCCTCTGTCATCTAATAGCCTTCTGGAGAATATGCTCTGACGGGGACTTGTTCTTGGAAATGCTGGTTCTCTAGAAGCAAAAACACCCATCTGCATAAGTAGCACCACAGTATACACAGATGCTCAGATTTCCGTGAGCTGGGGGTGGGGGAGATGGACTCAATGTGATCTATGGTGCTGAAACTCCACGCATTGTCTGACTGCAGTCTTACGGGAGGGGGTGGGTCTAGACGCTCATGGCATGCCCAAGAACACAGCAGGAGAAGAGCCGAGGAGGGGGGAAAGGGAAGCTCGTGAAGCCTTGCATGCATGGGAACGCAGTCCTACATGCACCCAGTTCGGGCGATCCCATGTCCTCATTTCCCCGAGAAAGTTTGCTTACACCTGCTGTATTAAGAGAGTCCCTCTCTCATCTCAAAAGCATCTAGTTTGGCTGGTAAATTATATGGCCACTCTGAAGCTAATGGTTCTTTTGTGGCATAGCCAGGACTTTGGGCTAAGGCCTAATGTATAAGCAAACGCCCTGGTCCTCAGCAGGGCCCTGGAGAATTCCTGTTAGAGCCCACGGAAGAAACTGTTCATGAGTTAGAGTAGGTGTCCTCCTTGCTCTTCGTTGTTGCTTCTAGACCATTCTCTCACCCTCCTCCACACTTCCCAGCCGTGGCTCATGTTATCAGACTCTACCACCTTGTTGCACTCATCATTCCCTGCCAGATCCATTCCCTCATTCCTGGAAGATTTTAGCTCCTAGGTTACTGTTGTTCTCTCTAATACACCTTTATCCTACCGTGATGAAACCACCTAGTGTTAGGGCTTTAAATGCCAGCCTGGACCTCTTTCTTATATGCTAGACTGGTATACGAACATCTTTACTAGGATTACTAATAGGTGTCTGAGACTTAATCTGCTGCAAACTAAGCTTTTGCTCCCTACCTCCCCACCTCCCCGCCCGCAAAAAAAGCAAAAAACAACAACAAAAAACCTGTTCCTCTTTTGGTTTTCACCTCCATCTCAGTAAAAGGCAACTCCATCTTCCAGTGACTCAGGGCGAAAAAACTTAGACTCACCTTGAATCTGCTACTCTTTCACTCCAGACATTTGATCTGTCAGAAAATCCCATTGTCGCTACCTTTACAGTACAGCCAGATTCTAAGCGCCTCGCCCTCCCTCCGCGGCTGATGCCCTGGTTCAAGCCACCATCGCCTCTCCCCTGGATTATTACAATATCCTCTTAATTCGTCTCTCTGATTCTACCTTTTCTTCTCTAGTTTCTTCTCTCAACCCAGCAACTGGAGGGATTCCGGTTAAAATATAAGTTCGATCATGTCGCTCTCCTGCTCCAAACCTTGCAATAAGGTTAAAGCCAAATTTCTCACTAGGACCTAGGAGATTCTATAGATCTGATGCCCTGTTACCATTCTGACTTCATCTCCTACTGGCCTCCCCCGCACTTGCTTTAATCCATGCTGTTGGCCTTCGTGTCAGGCACAGTCTGACCCCAGGGCCTTTGTTCAGTACCCTGCAGTTCCTTTGGCCTGGAACGCGCGTTCTTCAGAGACCCATACAGCTCACTTCCTCACGTCCTTCATTCCTCTTCCTTACCTCGCAGTAAGGCCACCCCCGACCAGCCTATTAGAATGTTAATCATCACCCACAAACTCTATTCCCCTTTCCTAATTTATTTTTCTGCTTAGCTCTTACCATTAACACACCGTATATATTGCCTACCTACCTTGTTTTTTGTCTGTTCCACTAGAATGTGAGCTCCCGTGGGCAGAGATTTTGTGTATTTTGTTCACTGGCATGTGAAAGGTGCCTGGCACGTGAATGAATATTTGTTGAATAAATGAATTAAAGCATCAGTTACAGACACCCTCCATTTGCCTTTGGAGATTTTATAACTTTTTAACAAATCCTGAGAGCCTTCCACCAAAGGGAATAACTATGATCTTCTACTCCAACTTTCTGCCATGTGAAGACATCTTTTTATAGAAGCCTGGATCTGTGGGGATCCAGACTTTGTCTGTATTCTTCTTAGAAAGGGGTCCACCGCCCCCCTCCCCCGTCACCAGCCTGATGGAAAAATCTATGGATTGGAAAGTTCAGCCTTTTATTGAACCCAAACCTTCTAAGATGTACCTGCTGGTTCACTGCCCCTCACAGCACAAATCTACTTCCTGGCTTCTCTGGCCCTTCTTTCTACAGCTTAAACAACCTTAGTTTATCAGCTTCTCCCGTGATACGGTTTTCTGTCTTCTCACCATCTTTGTTGCCCTCCTCCGGACTCAGTGCCCCAACTATATGAAGGTCCCCCAAACTGGACATAGGACACATATTACAGAGTACAATGGGATCATCACTTTCCTTGGAGTTATGACTCTCTGGTATGTCATAAAGACAGCAGCTGATGTGTGGTGATGGCCCTGCCGCCTTGTAACAGGCTCTGCCTGGGTGGTGGGGTGGAGGTGGGAGGAGTCATGGGTAGTTTGGGGTTCGTATGCACTGCAGTTGTGGTATGAGGTAGCCAGACAAACTGCGAGCCAGTGAAATGAATAGGTTTGCCAGGGAATGAAAAGGGTTGGGAAAAGCCATTTGGGAAGAAGACCCACAAGGTAACTAGTATTCGACCTGGGGTGTGGGTGGGCTGGGAGTGGTCTGAGTTCATGGAAACTCTGCCAATGGCCCAGCATCCTAAGATGTTTCTTGAGGTGCTCTGGGTGGTCATCTGACCACATTTCCCTATTCTGCCACTAGATGAAGTGTCGCAGTGGAAGATGTGAAGTGGGATTTGGGGGTTTGTACAGAAAACCTGAAATCTAGTTTTTGGGCAGGTTGCTCAAATCTGTACATCAGTGTCTTCATCTGTAAAATAATAACAACCTACAGGATGCTTGGGTGTAGCCAATGAGCTAAAAAATGCAAAAGTGCTTGTAAATTGAAGAGCTGTGAGAAAGAGAATTATTTTTGCTATTAAAAAAAAAAGTGTTAGGAGGGAGCTAGGGCAAAAGCAGTTTCTTGGCCCACATTCTGAAATGACCCCTGGCCTAGATGACCCGACACTCTAATGCCTGAGATTGGAGGGGACGCACCTGAAAATGGGGATGACATAGTTGTTGGGGAAGATGCCGACTCGCCCGGTAATCAAGGAGACGCCCTTGAGCCAGCCGTCCTGGTACTTCCCCAGGACCCTGATGCCTTCTCCCTTCTGCAGGTCCAGCTCATCAGGTCCATGGGCTGAGTAGGAGTGCAGGGCTACAAACCTGGGGGGACATAGGGAACTGGTGAAGGATGAGGGCATCCACACCTAAGGGAGGGCAGGAAGCAGAGAAGGGCGAAGGGAGATGGATGCTTCGACACTGTGGACAGCAGTATCAACCTTCGAAAACTAAAACTTCAATTCGTAAGGCAGATAAAGGTGGCAGAATCCGGCTGAAATAGTAGTGGAGGGGCCCAGATCCCTGCCCTCTCCATCGAGTGTCTCACAGCTGAAAATCTCTAATTTAGGCCACATCGGCACTTTGACAATGGGGAAACTGGCCTAGAATAGAGAAAGGAGATGGTGACCCAGGAATTAGTGGCAGAACCCGGTTTCAACCCCAGATGCAATAGCTCTACCAAGGACGCAGCCTGATCCTGATTAGAGTACGACCTAAGAAAACGGGCACAGCCGGCAAGAATCAGGGAAATGGGAGGTCAGCTGGAAGCCTCGCTGAGCCATTCCCTCTCCTGAGACTTGAGACCCATTTGACTTCTTGGAATGGCCTGAGGAGCTACCTTAACGTAGGCAGGGAAGTGGACATTGGGAAGGGGCAGACAGGTTTAATTTTAATTCTTTGGTACACAGTGGACTACTGGCTGTATGGTGGGATGGAAGGGAATGGGTTTAATACGGCAAAAATGTCTTTGGGTACGAGCAGGGACTTGCTACTGTGAAGTCCATAGAGGGGTAAGTAGGTCACATCCAGGTATGAGTTGGGGGTGAAGACACTAGAGAGTAGTGAGGCTGTGGCAGTGAGAGTGCCCGGCTGACTAAAGGCATTAAAAACAGCCCACTTTGGCATGTTAGATCCAGAGGTCACCAGTACGTGGCTCTCAAGCGAGACATTAGGAGTCCTAGATTCTAAGGACTGAGACATTGGAACGTTTTATCAAGGGGCTGGTGAGGAGTGTTCTCATCTGGAAGTTTTTTTTCTCCCTTTAAATGCTATACTGATTACTAAAGCAACATCTATTTATAACCCAACATTTTGAATCTAAAGGAAGACAATAGAGATTGCTCAATACTCAATCTCCCAACAATGTTTTAGTATATAATCTTTCAATTTCTTTCTACTTTTGTAAAGTAATGAGCTAGGATGACGTGGTTTGCTAATTTGTATGTGTGTGTGTGTGTGTGTGTGTGTGTGTGTGTGTGTTTTACCAGTATTCCCTTGGTGGTTATAAAGGAAGGGGAGCTGCTTTCTCTCTGGAGGGAATGGTTTGGGAGTGGTGATGCTCAATGGCAAAGGGATGGCAAAGATGACCCCTCCGTGCCAGAATCAGGGGTGGGAGACTGAGTGTTTTACTCACATGTTAGCTGGGAGATGTTGCTGGGAGCCGGGCAGACTGACGATGGCCGTGGAATGTCCTGAGGAGGCAGGCATGGGGTGATAAGTGCTGACCTATTCGGACAGAAAAGACAGCCAAGAGGAACCAGTGAACATCACACGCCAGGCCCACAGCAGAGCTGCTATGGAAAGTCCTGATGCAGCTGAAAACAAAGAACCATGCCCAGTGCCACCCACTGTGTGTTGTTTCTGTGGTTTGTGGCTATGGGCAGAACAAGGCAAGGACAGATAGGTTTATGTCCTGATGAGGTGGCATGTCAAAGCTGCATTCCAAAAGGCTACTCAGATGTGGCAGAGGACGAAGGCCCATCGATTTACAGTCAACGGGCCACTACCAGACTCCTCGGTCTGTGCCCTGCGGCCCCCTCCCCACCCCGTGCTCTCCCAGTGCTCTCCCCTCCCTCTGTGAAAACTTACTCTTGGAATATGATCCAACTGCTAATATCGATTGAGACTTAACACTTGTTTTAAGTGCTTTACAAGTAATTTAAGCCTTATTAAAGGTGCTATTCTTATCCGCATTGTTAGATGAGAAACTGAGAGAAAGGTCACTCGACCAGTATGAGACAAAATGTAAAGCCAGGTAGTCTAGGTCCTGAGCACCACCACCCCCCGCAACACACACATGCTGGAGTATCCAGTGACTTATAGAAGGTGAATCTGAATCCCTTTCACTTCTCCAGGATGAAAGAGGAAGCAACGATGCTAAAAGCTCTTGGAAACTGTCTACCGTCCTGGGACTCTGCCTATTATCTATCATGCTACCTCGCTTATTTCCTTGTTGGCACATAAACTGTGATTATTTCCTTGTTTATTTACTGACCACCTCCTCATTAGACTCTAAGTTCAGGAGGGTAGGGACAATCCCTTGTTTGTCACTGTCTTTTTTATGTGCTCAATATGTTGTTGTCGCTTGTTAAAGAATGAATGAATGAAAAGATTTTCCTACCCACTACACCAGGGACTAATGAAAACTTATCCAGAGTAAATAACATTCAATCTGTCTTCAGTTATCCACCCTTAAGTAATGGTAACTATATATGTGTGCCTTTTTAGGACAGTGTCTTCGTGGGTACAACTACTGTTTGTGTGAATGCATTACCGAGTGCATGTGTTTCTGGCTCTCTGTGTAAGTGTGTATGTTTGTTCAGAACCCATGACAATCGTATGTGGATGTGTGATGCCGTTGGTCTATTGTTATCTGATTATGTTCATACATGTGGGTCTATGAATTGACAAACACATATACTGTGTAATTATATGTATATATGGCTGTACATGTGACAGTTAAAAGGTGGAGAGTTTCTGTTGGAGGTGATGGAATATAAAATTGTGGTAGTAATAGTTGCACATATCTGTGAATATATTAGAAACCACTGAAATGTATACCTTAAATGGGTGAATTGTATGGTATGTGAATTATATCTCAGTAAAGCTCTTACTAAAAAAGAGCATTCCATGGTCACACATCCAAGGCTCTCTAACACTGAGAGCAGTGTTCTGAGCTTTGCAATCAAATATTGTCACACCAGTTCCCTCAAACAGAGATGAAAAGAAGCTGGCTTTGGGCGAGGCGTCTCCTTCCCTGTGACTGGGTAAGGCAAATCCCTACTGGGCTTAGGAGCTGTGCCAAGGGAGTGCCTGTTATGCAAACAACTAATCTTATGTTTGTGGAGACCGATGGACCACTGATGAAACAGAATGAATTTCACTTAACACCCATGACTTTCCAATGTTATGGTTGAGTAAAAAGCCCTTCTATCCATAAACACTATTAATCTTTAGGCAGTAGGAAGATACTAGAACGCAAAACCATCTCTCCATTATACCAGGCTCTGCCCTTTTGCTTCTCTAGCTTCATCTGAGGAGGGGATAGTTCTCCCTATTTCAAGCATGGAACCTGGCTACGACTGAAATCGATGGGCTTGAGATAGCGTTCTTTCTAATATGCAATGGGAAGGGAGGCCAGATTCTCAGGTTTTGAGGTGTCCTGGAGGGGAAGGAAGAACACAAGTGGACAAGGAAGAAGAAGGAGGCAAAGGCGGAAGAGAGAGAGGGGGAAAGTGGGTGAGAGAGTCAGAAACTGGGACGGAGGCATGAGGGGAGAAAGAGAGAGGAAGAGAGAGGAAGGAAGAAGAAAAGGGAGATTAAGAAAAGATTGGAAAAGCTCTCACAACCCTTCAGAAGAAGATAAACAACCCAATAAGAAATGGGCAAAAGATACCACAAAAGAAGATATATTGAGTGGCCAATAAGTACATAAAAAAATTCTCAACGTCAACAATTATTAAAAAAATACAAATTAAAAACTACTATGAGATACCACTATAAACCTATGATATTGGCTAAAATTAAGACTGACCATACCAAGTGTTGGTGAGAATGTGGAGCAACTAGAACTCTATATACTGCTGGGAGGAATGTAAAAGTTTCCACCACATTGGGAAACAAGTTGGCAATTTTTAAAAATTAAGTTAAACATACACTTACCACACTACTCAGCAATCCTACTCACAAGTATTTATCTAAGAAAAATGAAAACATGTCCATACAAGGACTTGTGCACGAATGTTCATAGCAGCTTTATTCATTTAGCCCCAAACTGGAAACAACCCAAATGCCCATCAGCTGGTGAATAAGCAAATTGTAGAATAACAAGAGTGGCATACGTCTAAGCAATACACGCAACGACACGGATGAATCTTGTCATCCTAAATAATAGAAGCAAGACACACAAGGCTACATAGTCTATGATGCCATTCATATGACATTCCTAAAAAAAAAAAAGTCAAAACTATAGGGACAGAAGACAGGTTAAGGATTGCCAAGAGCCGGGGGTGGGGAAAGGGGATTTTGCCACGGGGCACAAGAAAACTTTTTGGGGTGATGGAAATGTTCTACATCTTGATTTGGGTAGTCAATACACACCTTTATACATGTGTCAAAAGTCATTAAACTGTATATTTAAAATTGGTAAACTTTATTGTATGTAACTATGGCTTAAAAAAGCTGTTAAAACATGAATATATTATCTAGTTGGCAGGAAACATCCAAGCGTCCTTAGCTTGACCCAGTCCAAGCTCTGGAATGGTCACGAAAAAGTACGGGGAGGGCTCAGCTGAACGATGGGCAGCTAGCAAGTGACCCTCTTGTTAGGGGACCCACCAGAATAGGAACAAGTCAAGAGTGGAAACCTATGGATCAGACAGAAGCTCGATAAATAAGGTGAAAACAAAAATGAATGAATGAATGCATGACCGGAATACTGGAAAAGAGAGACAAAGACAGAGAGAGGAGAAACTGGCAGGGAAGAAGAAAGACAGAACAGGACAGAAATGAAGGCCCCAACCAGTGAATGAAGACAACTACACAGATGGCCAACTTTTGAAAAGGAGGCAAGTCTGTTCCTGTCACTGGATCAAAGACGGAGCCCCAGCATTCCTGAGAGAGCCTGGTGAGTGGTTCCCTGGGATCAATTGTGACCTCAGGTCCCTGTGCCACAAGAGGTTTGAGACCAGATGTGAGGTCTTCCAGCAATTGGTACTTCCCGGCACAGTGTTCAGGGGCCTGAGCAGGAGCAGAGAGTGGGTTTGTGTATTTGAAGGTGGAGGTGGGTATTTCTGTTACAATATAAAAACATTTTTTCCTTCTTTTTGAAGGAAATGACTCATTTAAAAGAAGTCTGTATCGGTTAACAGAAAAATCCACAGCTGTGTGGCCTCTGGGCGTTTTCAGGTCTTGAGGCGTTAATTAAGTGAGGGAGGAAGGTGGCGTGGAGCCTGGCACAGAGCTGTTAGAACATTCCGCTGGCCCTTGCGCCCTCCCCAGCAGCCACACCAGCATAGAGAATGCGCCTCCTCCTCAGGAATCTGGAGAGGGGGTCTAGCTTCCTACTTAGGCATGTGGCTCTGGCATTTACCAGGATTCGTGATCTTGGGAGAGTGACAGAATTCCGGGGGTCCTCCATTTCCTCACCTGTACAGTGGGGTGATGATGGTATCTCTCTCATGGAGCTGTTATCAGGATTAAATAACATAATCCATGTAAATTGTTTAGCACATTGTAAGGGCTCAGAAATATTTCTCATTCTGATCTGCAAAGAGATTAGCTGCTGTGTGGAGATGGGCTGGAGGGAGCACCTCCTTTTATGCAACAGCCCTGCAAGGTCTTGGGCTGAGAGCAGGACCCAAGAATACGGTGGGGAATGGGAACCAGCAATCCTATTCTTCTCTTCTGGAGGAAAAAATCCTCAGCTTTTGAAAATGTGAGTTTGCTGTCCCCCTCCTGGTCCCTGCTGTGGCAGACAGCTATATCCTCTAGGGCTCATGCCTTTCAGCACCTTGGGGGACTTGGGGTGATTGCCTTCCTCAGTAGCCTGTGAACTACTCCAGAGGGGCCCGTTGTGGTCCCGCATCTCAGTATTCCCAGGAGCCAACAGGGGCCGCACTGTTCCTGTCACTCCTGACCATTGCACACATCTCACCCCCCACTCTTGCTCTGTTACTGCCTTTGTAATTAAAAATTTAAATTATAAATACATTATGCATACAAATAAGCATACATAATTTTGTGTCATTTAAAGAAGAATAACAAAGCTCACACCTGTATACGTCTCACCTAATTCAAGAAACAGAATAAAAATAGAAATTGAATGTTGTACTTAGAGGCCCTCTGCATGTTCCTCTATAATCAGATCTCTTCCCATCCCCCAGAGGTAACTACAATGCTGAAATTTGTGTTAATTTTTCCAATGGTTTTCTGTGTAATTTTTAGTACCTTGAAATATATACCTAAGCAGTATGTTGTTTAGGTTTGCTAGTTTTTGAACACAGTATGAATGGATTCACATTTATTCTGTGACTTGCATCTTTTGCTCAACATTAAGTTTTTGCGTGTATGTGTGGCTAATTTTCACTGCTGTCTCATATTTCATTGTACGCATATACCACCATTTAACCATTCTCTCATTTATGTGTCATTTGGGTGATTTTCAGTGTGGGGCTGTTATAAATGAGGTTGCTGTGAACTTTCCGGTATATGTCCCCTGTGCACAC